ATTCTAGAAATCAGTGACGATACCCAGCTCTAATCTCAACCTCAAAGTCAAGGCCAAATTTTCTGAAAATCTTGTGCCCTAGCTACTATGTTCATCCCACATTATAGATTGAATGGGGGTTAACCCAGACTAATAAATGTCTAACAAAACTGAAGTTTGTATAACAAAGTTTTTCATGTCTCACACATAGGTATCATATACCTATCATAAACCCCAAATACCAGTACTGACACTGTGCTTAATAAATCGTCATTGTTTTTACAGTTTGCACCAACTGTGCACAAACACCAAAGAAACAGATTTCTATAAATAAATTTATATCTATTCAAATCCATATTTACAGGACAAGAACAAAATATTATGTGTAATTTCTGTCACTTAATACTCTTAGTCTCATTAGCTCTCTCTGCACGACCTCAGGTGTCACAACACATCACCAGTCTTCATATAGTAGTCTCTCATTAGACATAACGCTGCATCTGCATCATTTCATTTCACCAGCACACTGTACACACTCACATGAGATCAACTTCACCTCTCTACTGTGATAGCTACAGCTCCTACACACACGCAGACACTTAAACACTCAAAAACACAAACACATGAGAAGGAGAAGAAGCTTTTTAGATCCACATTGATTGATATAATGCATGTGCTACTTTGGATCCATTTGAGAATAAAAGCATTCAGCCTTAAAACATGGCAAAAATCATTACAAAATCTATTTTCATTTGATGTTCTGGGATGGCGTATCACTCCAAACAAGAATTAAATGTATTTGGAAGTCTTATGGGCAGCTGAATGAGATTAATGTGCAAAACAGGGGGAGTTGAAAAGGGGTGTTACAATGCTGCCTGAACAGTTATGCTGACTCATGTAAATTACAACCTCAAATGCTGGTATCAGCTTATGCACACGAGTGTGGAAATTTCATTTTCAGCTTTCAAAACACCCCAAAGCTATAGTAATCACTAGCATTAATATGTTCAATTCAAATGTATTTATACCTACACAAATTCCAAATATAAAACAATGTATTAGTACAATCCGAATCAAACATTTAATAGTATCATTTTTAATACCAGTCTTTCACTCAGTGCCTACATGAACGTGCCTCAGCTCTGTGTTTTGAATGTTGGACAGTGAAATCTCTTTAGGCTTCTAAATAATTGGCTGTTTGGCATTTGTGCTTTTTTATTACTCTTGCTGGGACATATTCCATAGCAGAGTAAATGGTACAGTTACATAATGCTTTTTTTTTCTAAATCACTGTGCTTTGGTCAGTGAGGCTGATGAAATATAGAAGATGGGCACTAATGCAGAGTAACGTTCTTAATTTTAGTTACACTACATCTGTCTGTGAATAGAAAATAGACAGATGTTACGTTGTTTCTGACCCAGAATTTTTATTGTGATTGTCTTAGATATATCATAAACACAGAAAGCACTTCAGAGTGGAGTCCAACAATGCGCAGGAGCTGGTGGCAACGGCTGCTGGGAACATAGAGAGACTGCTGGCTAACCGCTCCGAAGCCCTAAAGGTAAGTGTAATCTCATGATCTTGTGGCAATTTATAGGAAATCAGTTAAGTGGAAGAGAAGGTTTTCCCTTGCGTCTTTTGTCATGGTGACATAATTCTTGAGATGGAATCATAAAATGCAAAATGTACACTGTTTGCAAAATTAGGAACAGCTTGACTTCTTGCACAGCGGCCCAGGAAAACACACAGAAACAGTCTGTTTATCTTCATTTCTCTTTGGGACAGACTCTGGAACAACATCACAGCTGATCTATTATAATCAAACATCCTCCACCCAGAATACTTGATTCAGAGTTAGCAGTCTGTGTTGGTACACGGTCACGAATGACCCTGTTTAGTTTCAACTTTGAGAAAAGCTTTGTCTTTTTGACTTCTGATGCCTGTTCTGCCCTCATACCTAACCTATACTGGCTGGTTTTATGGCTCATTTGTCTGAGCCCAACAGAAGGAAAATGCCATGATGACTATGCTGATCAACGCTTTCATCTTGTACCAAAGTGTTCCTGAACCGTGTTCACCTCATGCAGCTTATTGAAAGGCTGCGAGGACAATTCAGAGGCCTTGAAAGAGGAAAAAAAAAACACAAAAGCATTTTTCAGTCCTTGACAGTAATTAGTTTGACTTTTTAATAAAACTCATCTATTTAAACTGTTATACATCTTAGACCTAACTGTTGCTAGGGTTCGTTTGTCAGTTATTGACGTGGACCTTTTCATTGTATTTTTGTCTTGTGAAGCATTTAAAAGTCACTTATCTCACATATAATGTTTGACTGTGTCAATTCTGCAACATGTTAAAGTGTTTTTACAGGTTGCTATATTAGTGGAGTGATCTCAGATGCATCTATACAATTTATATCCACATACTAACCAGACTAGCAAGAAATAGTTGAAAATTTTTTTACTTTCTTGTCTAAATATGGTCAATTGTGGCTCAGGAAAAACACAACAAAACAAACAAACAAAAAAACATAGACAGTATAAAAGATGAACATAGCTGCCATGACCTTACCCAATATTCTTGGACTCTATTCCCAAGCATGACAGAAGTTATGCTGGACTTTTGAGAGGCTAGTACTTGCTATCTTAGTTAGCATGCTACATTCCTAAACAAAACGGTTCCAATACAAATACACATACATTATATACTTTGTAGGAGACTAGTAAAATACTAGAATGTCTAAGGAGTTTGGAAAGAAGGCAACTGGACTTCTTTAAGTTTCTTGGAGATGTTTTACTCTCGTTCGAGAAGTAAAACCAAATGGTGGAGAGTCCCAGGTGTTTAAACCCTAGTCTGGATTATCCCTTAACGGGGATTTAATTATCTGATTCTTAGACTATCATGATCTGGATGACTAAATACTAGAATATCATTGAATAAAATTGAAGCACAAACGTCTTGGATGGCCTTTACCAGACAACAAACTATATTGTTAGTAAGATAATCCAATAAAAATGCTCTAAAAGGCTCCAAGAGCACTCACAGTAACTTGAAGTTCAGTTTAATGATTCAGGGTAGTGGAAGTAAGGCCTGATCGGCCTCACTATATCTGGTCTCCTGCCAGTCAGAGCTGGCACGCCCTAACTGAGATGAGTTATTAGAATGTGAAACTCACTCTAAAGTTAAGTACTTCAATGCAGGAGTCTGTTGGGATTGACTCAAGCGGCACCTAGAGGAACTGCAACTTCTGTCACTTCTATAACGTCTTTTTTTTTTTTTTCAGCTCTCGAATTTTGGGGGGAAAAAAGATGATAACAGCCATAATGCTTTCTAATATGGTTCTGATTGCTCCTCTACCACTGCTGTGATACTCTCTGGAAGTCTGTGGTTTTGAAATGCTTCATAAGCTGCTGCTCAATAGATATGCATTATTGATTCCTCTATCATCTGCATTTGTCCTGGATCAAAATTTGTATAGCCTTTGCTGTGCTTTCTATTTTGTACTGTATAAAAAAATGATAGCGCTCACTTAACTGAGGTCTTGACCAGTATTATTATTTTCTCTTGGACACACTTGTTTTTTTATTTTTATTTTCAAAGGACAGCATGTGAAATTGATCCAACCTTTCCCTGTACCTTTAAATTACATTTAACAGTATATCACCAACTAAATTAGGACCTTGGGATGCTCCCAGCCTCGATCAATCTGACTCAAAGGGCCCGGAATATCCAATTAAGGCTGACAGCTTGTTGCCATAGCTACAATCGAATTGATTAACCCATCATATCTGCCAGGCATTTTGTTTTTCTTACATCTTCATAATTGTCAAGGGATTAGGGAGTGTTGCTTCACACCTGGGGAGACTAAATATGACTTCTCTGTGAGTTGATGACAGTGGAATATAGATGTTACACTACAGACTGTGTTCTAACATTTTATCAGCACCATCTGCTGTGTGTTTCACCTGTGGAAGTTAGTGCCAGTTGTTTAGTCTTTGCTAGAAGCAAAAAATGAAACAGAGATGATATAAGTGTAAAAAAAAAAAACCCCACCATATGCTCCTGTTTTAATGTCAGTGCATTAGCATTGAAGAGTATAGGTTGTGGTGGTGATGTATTTTGTGTAATGAAGTTGAACTGAGTCAACTTTATGGCAGTCAATTTATCTAAGGGACCATAAATTGTTACAGGGACTACTTAGCTAAATAATGAATGGAAATGGAGTCAAGCATCTGTAATGCTTTGACCTGGCCTACGCTAATATAATAGCTCTCTATGAGGTAAAAAGCACTCCTCTCTGACTTTACACTCCTTTACTATCCGCTGTCATTTTTCCCATATCATCATCCCTCATATCTTTTTGTTTTTATCTTTAAGTCCTCACTTTTTCTCTGTCTTTGTTCTGTTGAAAGGCTGATTACGCACATCATAACTGAACATGTGAAGGAGCACAGCTTTTTTTGTCTGGGAGAAAGGAAAGAACCGAATTGTCTGATCTTTGAGAAACACAGATGATAAGGAAGTGGTAGGAAGTCCATGAGTGCTCTATATGCTACACTTCCTTTGAGGACCTAAACAAGAGACTAGAAGCCTAATGGATCTTGGCATCTCAGCAACAGGCAGCACTCTTTCTTTGTTCACACAGCACCGTTTGAACCTTCAAGGCTATTAAACTGACACACAACCCTGCTATAAACAACCACACACATGCAGGGGTAAACGAGGAAACCCACACAGATGTGTAAAAGTAGGGTTTCAACTCCACGTGAGTTATTTTGATTTAATTTCAGGTATTTTGTGATCAGATTCAGGTATTCAGACCCTTTAAGATCAAAACGGTGCAGTAAGAATATTTCCACTTCTTAGAGTAATTCACATGATTTTTAAATTTGAAAGCTGAGACAGTATTAAACTGTAAATTTTTAAAACCAACCAAAATCTTGTATATTGTAAAGTTTAGGCAATGCTGCGCCTGAAATTAGCAGTGACATTTCTCTTTACACTGACCAAACTGCTCTCCTGGGCTGTGCTTTGCAAATGTCCAATTACTTTTGTATACGTGTCCCTCAGTTTATATGTGACTGATATCAAGTGTCAGTGAACACAGTCAATCTTGCTCCAATCTTTTTCTTTTATTGTATAGACAATATAAATTTGCCTTTTTAAAACATCACTTTTTGCTCATCTGTTTCAACCGTTCCAAGTTAATGTTTCCAAAGTGCTGATGATCTGACTGGGGATATGATTTTGTCTCTTTACAGCTCGTGGGTGATCAAAGAATTTGCCTCTTTTATGTCATGCCACAGTATTTTGTATTCAGTATGTGTCGTTCTTAAAAGGATGTAAAGTGAAACTGAAATTCCCAGCAGGAAAGAAACCACCACGGTACTGACAGAGAAATCCTGAAAAGTTGTCATCGACAGCAACTGTACGGTAGCTAGGTTTTTTTTTTTTTTGTTATTTTTGTTCGTACTTTTCTCCACTGTGATCACACATTTTATCTTTCTTCCGCCTCAAACCCTGCTAAATTCTTTTGCCATCACTTCATCCTGATTCTGTGTCACTTTTCATTCCCAGTTTCCCATTTTAGCATTGCCCTCTGCTCCTCTGTTAGCCCTATCTGTCCTTTTATATGTCTTCTTGTTGGATATAGACGTATTTGGTATCCTTCCTCATTACAATGTGTTAAAAAGAACTAGCAAAAATAGTTTCCCTGTTGAATTTATGTTAAATTACAAAAATATAACTGCCTAAAACTAAATATTTTTCTAGTTGAGTAACATTATTTGATTTGGTAATCCACATTTGCCATTTGTCTTCTGATTAACTGGCATAGAAGTAGAAGGTATCCAATCATCTGGTTGTGTCAGTCATGTGAGCCAGTGTTTTAGCAGAAGTTGAGGTTTTACATTGTGGATATTCACATTAATTTCTTCCAGGGTGATGCTGCAAGTGTCCATCAGCTGCTAAAATAAGTACCTGCATATAGAGCTCATCCATGTTAAGAAGGTCTGTTAAGGAAGAAAGTGGCAGAGCCTCACCAATATAGGATTTTTAACTTATTCATTTTTTCCCCCTTAATGCACAAAACGTGTTATCTGTGCTTATTTATGTTATCCTTCTTTGATTATATGATGCATTTTAAAATGAGTCTAGTTTTATTTCAAAACAATTTATTCATTTACGCTTTGCCAGACTCTGATCACGCCAGCTGGTTTTTAGTGTTTTTAGTGTTTTTCTCTTATTCTTATTAGTCTCTTGTTTACATTTGAACTTTTCATATGTTGGCTGTTTAAAAATGCAGATATTGGCAGATAGATCTGCCTGCTGATGACGTATCGGGTGAGCTCTGGATAGTGAAGTGGTCTCAAACCACAATGGCCAGGTTTTATTTCAGCTAAAGATGTTGCTCCAAGGGAAATTAATAAGCTTGATGTTGGTTAGGTGGTCAATATCAACTTGCTTCAATGAGATAAAGTCAATACATTTTTCTCCGTAGGCAAGGTTATAACTCACAGGTGGACAACTGATCTTTCTAAGGAGCCACATGAGAAACTGAGA